CTTTTGCTATTTAAGTTTTTGCAGCATATTCTTGATCAATAGTTTCAATAATCTATCATTCATTTGAATTGATTCACAGAAAACTTGAATAACAACAAAATTTTGATGTAAAACCACAATTTCCTTCTTTGATCATATTTATTTAATAAATCCATTACGATATTTGTTTTTGCTTGTTAACTTGTTGAACATCTTTCAAGTGATAAGTCCATTCTAGTCAATCCTTCATAATAAGATGGAAGGGTCTGGGTGTGGGTATGAGAGTGTAGGTCTTATCTATTCTCTAACCCACACCCACACCCACACCCCAAACTTTCAGGTGAAACAGTTTATTTGACGAGATCGAGATTCGTCTCCTTGAGTGACAAGAAAAAAGTTAATATCAATTTTAAACTCGACCGCCGAAGGTGGCTACACTTCTGCATGTTACTATGAATGACAAGCGCAAAATTGTGAGAAATTTTCTTTTGCAGGTAGCTCAATGATTCTTTAGAAAAACTCATTTACTTCGCCCTTTCTTTCAAAGAATGTCATCAAATCTTTTTCAGATCGTTGGTTTACGAAACTCATGCATTTTCCATTGCACTAATAGCTTGATTCTCGAGGTAGAAACGATTGTGTTTCGAATTTCTAACATTACAAATTCAGATCAATGAGTTCTCAAGATTCACTTCAAATTCGACACAGATTGTTCCCAATAACATATATCAACGTTAGTCTTTTTTCGTTCAGTCCAATATAACGAATTCGAAACTTTTTTTCACTGCAGTTCGACCTCTCCTTAACATTGATGCCAATGCCACATGGACATCCGATGCTCTTACCATAACTGAAGACCATCAAGCAGCCAATGGACTCAGCCAACTCTTTTATCCTAATGGGCTCTATGTAGATGACGATCAAAATGTCTATGTAGCTGACTCCTATATCATCATTTCGACATAGAAACATTGGACACAATATGTAATAGAAAAATCAGAATTTTTTTCGAATAGATGGTTGATTAATTTTGGAGCACTTGTATGTGATATTCGTAGGCTTCAATAATTCTTTATTTTATTCTCAAACAAGGAGCAAATGAACATACATAGGAAATTATCTTCGATCAATTACTACAGACAGAAATAGTGTTCGAGTTTAAAGAAGAATTTATTATTTAATCACTTAATTGCAGAGCATGGATGGGGTCTAGGTATTGTCGAAATAGGATAGAGAATATTACTGCGTTGTCTTCGTAGTGTCTTACAATACAGAAAAAATCCTTTCAACTGTTCAATGAATTTTTCTCGAAATAATTGCGATGTTAAACAATAAATGTAAAAGTTGTAACAATAATTAATATTGAGAAAAATCGATAATATCAAGATGGTATTATTGGTAGTCGATGTAAGTCCGAATCGTTGTATAAGAATTCGACAAATAGAATAAGGTAATGTACAAATTACAAAACAGATTACATTTGAAATCATTAAAATGAACATATGCCGTTGAAGTTTATCCCTTCTCATCGTCAATGTCATCACTAGAATTCGTTGTACACGCAATTTAGATTGAACTCCAATTACACAAATAATCATCAAACAACTTGGAAGTAAATAAGTGATTAATAATTGAAGAATAGGCCAAGTATTGAAGAAAAATATTGAATAAGATGTTATAGGAGAGCGAGGTGCTCCGCAAACATTACTCGTCGGATTACTATAACTATATTCCGGCTGAAGAACATGACATGTAAACAGAGTTGAACATATGCATACAGCAACAGTTGACCAGGCAGCCACTTTTGTTGTACATACTTGCGCTTGTCGATATGGAAAACGTGCACGAATCAGTCGATCAATGGCAATTAAAACAAGAAGCCAACTAGATGTGACAGCTGAGAAATTAGTTATAAAGGCACGAAAACGACATAATTGATCGCTTCGCAATATTGGCATTTCCAGAGTTATTGCAAGAAAATCACGGATAAATATCGATAGATAGAATATATCGGAGATCGTCAAGAAAATAAATAGCAATCCGGTCGAAGTAAGACGAAGGGGTTTTGATAGAAATGTGATGAGACTGCATGCATGACCGATAAAACCCAGAGGAGATGTGAATAAATAGCTGAAGAAACCAATAGTATTAATCACTGTACTCGTCATTTGGTACGTATACGATGAAAATAAGAACGAATCCTAGTAGTAATAAGTCTTCAATTAAAGTACCAGTAACGTGTAAGCTGTAGAAATCGGATCTTTTCTGATGTTTAGTCGAGATTGGAATATCTTCAACATGTGCATACCAAATTTTGACAGCAATATTCGACGAATTTTATAGAAAATTTTTTTAGAACCTACTGTAAACAATAGTCAATATATACCTGATTTGATGTTGATTCGTTAAGATAAATCGTATTAACAGAAATGAATATGACTTTCCACTTAGGCTCTAATATCATTCTTTTTCTAATTAACATTTCCAATTATATCGAATGACAGAGTGAAATGGATCCTTTTGTATTCTCGAATTTTCATCATATAGAGTCAAGCATTTTTTTTACCTTTTTACTAAAATATGTGCTGTGAAATTCTCTACAAAAATCTACGTTTTGATTAGCTAATGGGTCTGTTTTTCTTTTATAGGGACCGAACATTCGTTAAGGGATATGATGACAACTTTCTAAAATTATGCTAGACATAGTTTAGAAAGTTGTCATCATATCGCTAAACGTTTATTTTAGCTCCTGTAAAACAAAAATACATACATTAGGCAAGCAAAATATAGCGTTTTGTAGAGAATCTTATGGCGCATCTTGTGGTGAAAAAAATTAGAAAAATTCCTGACTCTGTACGAAGAAAACTCGAGAATACAACGTGATCCATTTGTACTGAATCATCGGATATATGATGATTGTGATAGCTTAAAAAACTTTGAAATTTTAAGGAAAATGGACATTTTCTTCTCGAGCTAGAGAGTTTCCAATGAAGCTTATTTACGCTAATCATGCGATGATATGTGGCTACTTCTTAGCAAACTGGTCTGTTAGATCGTTTCGAAGCTTTAACTTTGTTTATTTTATTGTATTCTTAAATGTCCTTAAATCAGTGTACATATATATATGTCACACAATGCAATAGAGAAGAGATGATAGAAGAAAAAAGAAGAGATATAGAAAGACATCAAGGGATAGGAGTGAGGGTGAATCACCGCTAAGGTTTCTCTCCTCCCATATTAGATGTGTGTCCTCACATATGAGTATTTGGTATGTTAATCTGTTTGCGATGTGAATGTGTTCAATTGATTCATAGTTTAAATATTTGTACTGGTTGTGATGTTTGCTTAATCTCATCGTGGCATACTGATATGAACAGTTGCATTTGTAATTTGTTGACGAAGATCTGTTAAATATTTAATATTTTCATTAATTGAAAATGATAAATCAATAAATATATTATCTAATTGTAAATCCATTGATGAATAAATGAGATTGTTCATGATGATAATTCATTTATTGTTCTCGTTATATATTAGCAGACTTCGACATGATTCATGTTATAATGAGAAATTATAGATCTAATGTTAGATGTAAATAATATAACATATTATTGATGAATGTTCACTAGATTCTCCTTTTCTTTCACTTGAAGATTCAATACTTTGATAGTTTATTTGAATTCTATTTCGCATAGTATAATATAACATTTTTAATAATATTCTCATTCGTTGAATTAAAAATTTCTTCAACAACATATATTTGGTTCTATATTTATATACTCATCATGATAATTATTATCATCTACTAATACATCAAAGTGAAGTGAATCATTTGGATGATCCAATGGATGATTAATAAAGATTGGAGCTTCAACAGGTCGACGAAGGACAATTTTCATTTTCTATTTGGATATATACATATACTTATGGAAATCTAAAAGGAATGTCGTCATTATTTTATTTCCGTACAGAAAGCTTGAAGGAATTTTTTTATGTAGTGGTAGAGAAAACTATACTCTATTTTTCAATGATATTTGATCACTCTTCAATTAATATTATAATAATAAAATTTTGATAAGACCTGCTTTTCTGTCATATGTGACGGTAATACTAATGCCTATTTAGTGGATATTTTTTTGAATAACTTTTCGTAGAAACAAGATAAAGCGCTATGGTTTTCATCGTTCGAAAGAGGAAGTGAAGACGCATCGGATCGTATATTATATGGTTTTTTGAGATGAAGTTTTTTAAGGCTTTCAATAGATTTCTTTGAAAATAAACCTATGTCATGAGGTGTTTACAGCGAATTCTCCATTCTCCATTCTCAAGTATGTATTCAAGCCATCAATAGAAGATTTACAAGACTGCACAATGTTCAGATGTTTGGAATTAATCATTTAGGAGTTATGAGTATTCCAATTGAAGCTTTAAGTGATTTATCTAACAATTTCTATAAAAAAAGAGTTTTTACTAAAAAACCATTTTTTCATACTTAGAAAATTGATTAAACAAACTTTAGACAACATACTAGGAAAACGTATAATCTATGATCTGATGCATCTTTATTTCTTGTTTCTAACAAAAGTTATTCAAAAAAATATCCACTAAATAGGCATTAGTATTATATTATCGTCACATATGACAGACAAGCAGGTCTTATCGAAATTTTATTATTATAATATTAATTGAAGAGTGATCAAATAGTATCGAATAATAGAGTATTGTTTTCTCTACTGCAACATTAAAAAGAAAATTTCTTCAAGCTTTCTGTATGAGAATAAGATAATGACGACATTACTTTTAAATTGCCCTAAGAATTTAAAATAATCTAACATGTATCATTATCGATAATTAAATTCATACATTTGTTTTAATAATAGTACCATTAATATTGACGTAGTTGATGTTGATAATGTTGTTGTGGGTGTGATGAATATCGACAGCCTATAAGCTATTTGATTATCATCAATATGAATTAGTTTATATTGAATTTCTCCTAATGAATTCCTAATTGGTATAATTCAAGTATATCCTATTTGAATATCATCTTGAGGAAAATTTAGTTGATTTAGCGGTGGTAATAGAATTCGTCCATTTAACGAGGATAATACAGCAGGACGATTTATTGATTGATCTTCAAATATTCGATAAGTTGTTTCTAATAATTGTTCATATTTATATCGATTAAATGGAAACATTCGAATAGAATTTATTTTTCTTTGAATATTTTCAATAGATTCAATTTTAACAATTTCTTCTGTATAATTCATTTCAATATATTCAATTGTTTCATCAAGACATTTTTCAACATCACGACGTTCAATTATTTCAATTTCAGAATATGTTAAACGTTGTACCATAGAAAATTTGTATTCGAATCGAATCGTTTCGCTCTTTTAACCATGATAATATTTGCAAATATAATACGATGAGTAAAACGAACATTTCATATTCTTCGTTTTTCTTTCTTTATACATAATAATGTCAATGAAATAAATACAATATTTTTAATCCTATTTTTTTCATAAGCAAGAACAAAATAAAACGTAGAAATGCATCATCAAACATTCATGTTCATAAAGTTAAAAGTAAAGTACAATCTATGACATAAAAGTTTTCATTCTTTTCCAGAAAAAAAGCAAGCAAAGTAACAGATGTATCAATTTTCGAAAGTATTCAAAAGAAAAAATTGAATCGTCAATCAAACACATACTTTTCAAATAGAAATATCAATCTACTCTGTAGTCTGATTTAATTAATCACTTATATTTATATAAAACGCTTGACTATAGGAGAATATGCGTAAACATATTTACATGTATATTATTTATGAAAATTGTCATAGTTTTCTCAAAAAAAAACTGCCTGTTGTCACTGTCAACTCACGTAAAAAATTCTTGATGAAAACCATCATCAGTCGTCATGTATCATTTTATAATTTTTGGCGGCGTTTGTGAAAAACCTAAGAAACAGTCTGACCGCCATGGTTCTATGTAATACCTCATAACTATACTCTTCCACAACGATGTCTTAGATGCTTCTCGAAAACACAAAATATATGGTTAGAATAACCTTTCAAATGAAAATAAAATCTATGTTACACCATGATGTTCTCTTGTCATTGTTACTCATGATTATCATTCTTTAGTGAGCTGCATGTATCACACACATCGAAATCTGATACTTTCATTCAAGAGAAAACAACTCTCGATTAAATATTTTTCATTCTTAATTTAATCTTCATATTATGTTTATGACAATCAGCACTTTTATGCGATGAAATTTTATCATTATTTTCTCTCTTTATCTTTGACATCGTTCTTTACCAAGGTGAAGAGTTTTCCATGAAAGTACTCTGAACATTAAAAATTGATAATATTTATTGATTTATATTAAATATATAATTGAATAGTTTCGTGTTAGCAATGAAATAGTATGTAAAAACCGCATAAATTTTTTCTAGTTTAAATAATTGAATAATAGAAAAACTCTAGAACTAAAAATAAGTATTAGTGCAATTTATGGTATATTGACTGAATTGACTCTGACGAGTAAATAGGAGTTCAGTTTTGATATTGGTTGTCTATAACTGGTCAAAAAAACAATAAATTAAATTTTTTTTTAATGTACTAGATTAATTTTTGAATCTATAATCCATAATAAGGTTGTACATAGATAAAAAATATTAAAATAAAAAGAAAAGATTTTAATTGAAAAAGAAAATGTTTTTCAAATGATTATATTATTTCAGCTATAGATAAACAAAAAAAGAAATAAAATAAATGATGATTGTTTTCAAGTCGGTTGTTTTCTTGTAAGTTCAATATTTAATCCACCTTCTGGTGCATTAACAACATCAGCAGCAGCATAACATGCTTGTAATGTTAAACATTCATGTGTGCCTAAAACAAAATCTAAATTATTATTCATAAAATTAGTCATATCAGCTTGAGCATATCGTGCAAATTCATTTGATTCTTCTCTTATTGTTAATTGTTGTGCTAAATTTGAAAAACCAGATCTTAATGGTGAATGTAAATTAAAATTTTCTGGTGGATCTTTATTTAAAATACATTTATAAACTAATTTTGCAACATCATATGCATATAATTCCAACCATGCTAATGTTTCTTTATTTGTATTTTTTTCATTTCTATTTGATTTAAAATTTTTTGCTAATGAAATAAGTTCATTTTTATCTGGACGTGTTTCACCAATCATTGTAAACCAAGCTATATCAAAATCAACCATATGTAATGATAATGCTGTATTACGCATAAAATCTCGACATGATTTACTACAAATATATATATCATTAAGTTCATCATAATTAATACTTTTTAAACCTTCATATACACTTAAATAATTAAGAAAATGTGTTCCACTATGTGCAGTTAATCGTTCAACAGTTATAGCACGATTATCAAGTAATTTAGGATTTTCACCTCTTATATTTCGAACTGTTATATTTTGATTAATTGTTTCATGACCACCACGTTTTGATGGACGTGAACTTAAATTTCCTAAAATAACTGATATCCATGGTGCATTTAAAAATAATTGATTAAAACTATTATTTCCAGATTGTTTATCTTTAGAATCATCTAAATCTCCTATATAATTAAAATAAGCTTGACGCATAACTTGACAAGCATGATGAAATTTTTCAATATTTTTTCTTTCATCATAATCTTTTGGTGCTCGACGTGGTAAAACATAATGTTCACCATTCGATTTTAATTCAGTTTGTGCACGTGCATGAAGATTTTGTGCAACTAATGATTGTAATATATGTAAAGCAATTGATGATGGAGAAAATAATATTTGCATTTGATGACCTTGAATTGTTAATAATGATGGACCAAGAGTTTTAGCATGATAAAAACGTGCTGCTCGACCATTATTATGAGCTACTTCTGTAACACGTCCACCACCACGTTGTAATGCAGCACCACCACCACTAAAACCATTTATAGTTAAATTTTTTAATTCCGGATATTTATATTTAAATTGATCAAGCATTGAATATATTTTTCCTAAAGCGTGTTCTTGTGATGATTCAGCTCCACGACCATTACGTCTAACAGTATCACTTTTAGCTATCATAACAATTAATTTTTCGCGATAAAATAAATGTTTTCGATAAATTGAATCATTAATTAATTCTGATATTAAATTAGGTAATTCTTCTAAATCTTTAACTGATTCACTTAATGTAACAATATCAATTATTGTTTCTTTTTCAGCTATACTATTTCCAGATGCTTTTAATAATAAAAATGCAGCTAATACATGAACTATTGAACTTGTTTCAGCTATTATTAATTTATTATATATATCAACATCATATTTAATTAATTTTAATCGACCAAATATACGTGCAGCTGTTTTACTATTTTTATCTAATATATCATCATCAGTTAACTTGAGTTTTTCAATTATATTATCATTATTTAACCATTCAATTATATATTTTTTTTGATCTTCTAATGATAATGAAGAAAAATTTTCAATTAAACCGTTTACTTTTGCTAAATGATCAACTGTTTCCATTATATCAAAAGCATTATGACGAATATCAATTTGAGCATAATGAAAACGAAAAGTTTTTATTTTGTAAATAAGATCTTGTGCATCTGGAATATCTTCTAAATCATGAATTAAATCATTTGGTGTTTTATATAAATTATTAATTAATTTATCTTGAATATTCATTTTCTTATCCGATGATAATTGTTTAATATCATTTAAATATAATTGTTTAATACGTTGTTTTAATTGTATAACAGCTTGTTTTAATGCGTTAACATCAGCATTTTCATTTCCATCTCCATCTCCAGCTGACCATATAGATACTTGTATAAGAGGTCTATCAACATCAATTAGATTTTCATAAGATGGAATTTGTTTTAATGATTCAATTAATTCAATTCTTAATTTTGTTGATGTTTCATAAATAATATCAATAATGGCAATTGTTTCTTCGACTTCTTGTTGAACAGTTTTTTTTGGTCCAACTAAAGGTAAATGTTCAAGTAATTTTAAATGTTGTTCATAATCAATATCATTATCTAAATATTTATCAAATTGAATTCCACCATTAACTGTATAATCAGTTGATGTTGGATTTGTTGGATGCATTGTTAAACTAAATATTGCATAAGCATTTTCATTAAAAAATTCTTTTACTTTATTTAATGGTACATTTTCATTTTTCATACGAAAAAAAACATATTCAAAACGATCAGCTGTTGCTGTACTATTTGGATCTTCAATTTTTTCATTATAAATTTTAGCATTAAAAAATTTCCTTACACGACGTTCTAAATCCATTATTTTAGCATAATATTCAATTAATTTTTCTCTTTCAATACTACCAAATTTTAAATCATTTAACACTTTTTTATAAACTTCAATACGAGTTTCACGATTTGAATTTGTACAAATTTTAAATATTTCTTTTAAATAGTAACCGATTTTTTCATTTTCTTTTGATATTTCATCAAGAAATCTATTTCGAATTGTTTTTTGATGATGATCAAGTTTTAATATTTCATTATCCATTATTAAATTTATCTAAAATAAGATCAAATTCAAATTTACGTTTTTATAAGTCATCTGATCAATGCCTAAATCAATGTTAATCATAATAATTATGGCATTTTATTACTGAGAAAAGTCTATTAACAGATATCAATATGTTTCTGATCATTATTATAGATTGGTTCTTACTCCTATTGATTATTTATCCTAAAGTGTATTCACAGCTGTCATATACTACATTAATTTTGCAAAGAGACTCATCTAAATATTGTTGATATCTTCATTTAAATTATCTTCAAGTTTAAAAAACATAAAGTCATAAAAATTTGCCTTTTTCGATAGTTTTATCTAAGAAAATAGTATGTCCTACTAAACATCAGAAAATAAATGGTGTAGATTCAATTAGAAAATTTTATTCTCACATTTGAACGAACATTTTTGTTTTTGACTTTTCGTTCTTGAGATCATCGCAATAGAAGGGTGTGGGGTATACAAGCAGGAAAAAGCGGCACTTCGTACTTCACTGTACTTCACTTGTACTGCACGCGTACTTCACTGTACTTCACTTGTACTTCACTCGTACTTCACGGTACTCCATATACTTCACTCGCACTTCATTGTACTTCACGGTACTTCACTTGTACTTCACCGTACTTCACTTGTACTTCACTCGTACTTCACTTATACTTCATCGTACTTCACTTATACTTCATCGTACTTCAGTTGTACTTCGCTGTACTTCAATCGTACTTCAAATTTTTTTTTAAGTAGATGAAGTCTCGCTTTTTCCTCCTTGGGGATATAGCTAGTGAAGAAAAAGTCTACACCCACACCTTCAAGGTCATCGAGTCACAAATATAGACTTTGAATGCGTAATTCGATAAAGAAACTAGATGGTATTCGAGTTTCACATAAATACGCAATACGGTGCGAAGCACAAACCTCGAGTAGTATCAGGAAAAAATGGATATCTCGTAAAACAGGAATATTTGATTTTAGGATTCATGAGAAATTGTTTTTTTTTTCAAAACGATCTTTACCTTTTACTGGAATCAGTTTTCTTTTTTACCCCTATGAGTCCTAAAATTTATGTTTCGATCTTGAAAGGCAGACATTGCAAAATTCATCTCTACCAGAACTCTATCAAAGTCCATCAATGTATTGCGAACGAACGATATCGATTGATCGTTTAATTATCTACATGATTCATTATCTACCATCTACTGTATTCACAGCTATTTCACATATGAGTAAGAAGCAGTGCTCTGCGAGATGTGGGACTAGTCTGCCCCAGAATGCGGCGGGACGGGACAAAATCAATTCGCTTGTGCATCCCGACAAGTGTACACGAGACAGGATTGTGGATGTTCTGGAAAAACGTAAAGAAGGTTTACAGAGTCTTTTAGACTTCTAAAAGGTTGAAACCCTGAAGAAAGGTTCTGATCAGGAAAAAAGTTTTGAGAAGGATGTCACAAGGATCTTCTAAGTTCAGAATCTATTTTCAAAGTTTTTGCTTTCTAGTAAAAAACAGAACTTTTCAGAGGCCCAAAATGTTCTGCAAATCTCCTTTATTTTTTTCAGAGCATGCACACCTATACCTCGAAAAATGTCGACAATATATCTTTTCTCAGATCAGTTACTCGAGAGCAGTATTTAAAGTTATACTTTTTATCAAGTTTTTCATTGTTTACTTTTGTGATGAAAATCTTGTCATGTGAATATTATTTTGAAACAGATGTTTTGTAAAACAAATGATTTAAATTGAAAAAGAAAGTATAGATTCGCTAACTTTTTTTCCATTTGTACTTCGACAAAGAAAAGTTACGTCCAAGTGACAGAATGAGGCGAGACAGGACGGGACGGGACATGGAATGAGATGCGACGACTTTTTGGTTGTCCCATGGAGCTCTGGTAAAAAGAGTAGTGCCTAACTTTTGTTTAATTATCTCGAAATGCAAAAAGCACTAAGTTCACAAAAATTTGTCATTTTTGAGCTCGATTTATAATGAAACGGAACCTTTTCGTGAAGGTTTAGAAACAAACATTATTGATTTGATCTCGACACTTTCATATCATGTTTGAAGGAGTACTTTCTGAATTTCCAATCTTGACATCATTGCGTCACGAAATTGATGAGAAGTGTTAATGCATATGTCTGGAAAGTAAGAAAGAAAGAAAACTCGCGAAGGACTACATAAATGTTGTGCTTCGTACCGTATTAATAAAGTTTTAAGGATAGTATGAAAGAACAAAAGCGAATATAGTTATAAAAATGCAAAGATAAAAGAATTCGACAAAATTTCTGTAGAAAAACCAATATCATTGCTTATATAAACTGAACTCAATTAGGAGTGTAGAATATTCAAAATATTTTTCTTTGTGAACATAAAAATCAAGTAGTATATTACGAAAAAGCTAATTTTATGAAACAAGTCGATGTTATATATCAAGTCACATCTTGTATTTATCTGGTACCTTACTTCATGCACGTTTATACCTAGATTTGTCTGTATGCATATCTCTATTCCATCAGTCTAGGGCCAAGTGAATCGAGTCTCGATGAATGCTACTTATCGATTTCATTGTTGTCTTCGTTCTATCGATTAATTCGATTATATTTTCACTATGTATAAGGCTTTTAAATAAATTTCATTTGCTATTCAAATTATACTAATAAGTGACTTACCGCAGTCAAATAAGTGTAGCCAAAATGGTTGTAAAACTTTAAATGATACGTTGTTATCGACTTTAGCTTATATTTTATGTGTGAAACCGCTCGTTTTTTTTTATCAAATGATTCGTATGTTATTTTTTTTAGACGATGAAAATATTTTCTTATCTTATCTTTCATTCTTTTATGTTATGTGAGCATCTTTCAAGTGCAGGGTTTGTTGAAAATGGCCGTACTTATCAAAAATTACGCATGCAATGTGAGAATATACTATGAATGAATACAATCAATGGAAAATTTCATTGCCCCGCCACGAAATTCATTTCTGATAGAGTATACAGAGCAATCCGCGTTCCTGTATGATGTAAGATTGTAGACATCGTTCAAAAATGATATACAACGGTTAACAATAGTCAAATGCATTAACTATCTATTCAAAAATATAATTATTGAGGGTTAGCAAAGTTTCACCATTCTACGAAGGACTTCGTATTTCATTGTACACTTGAATACATAATAAACATTCATCGCTGTGATTTGCTCGATCCTTGGCCGAATGCTCAACTCTTTCTGTATAATACACTATTTTATAACCACTGTCGACACTAATATACCATGTATTTATAAAGGTAGATATGACTGTTGGACTAGCTCAACTTCTTCATGTCGGTGTTCGGGGGAATGCCTGTATGAGTATCCTGTACTGTTTCTTTTCATCTATTTCACCAATAACAACCACATCTACATTCACGTCCATAAATCCATTCACCACCACATTAAGGCGCCACTCAAACACACCCACATCCTAACACGAAATCCACTCAATGCGGCACCCAAATACCAAACAAACAATGTCATATCCTCACTCAAATCCATCCAGTACCATACCCACACAATACTCAAACACAACCAAACCCAAATCCTCCCCATCGTCAAACTAAAACACCACTTCAACACACGCACATCTACATCCTCACCATAAGTGATCCATCGCCACACTTACACTACTGAGTACACTGACATCCTAACCCAAATTCACACATGACCGTACTAACACACTACTCAAACACACGCACATCTAAACGTACCCGAACACCTACAGGCATTCTCTAGATCGCAAAGACATTTTATTCAGTGAGGTCAGTCTCGAAAAACGCGATCGAACAAGAATCCCATAGCTAAATTGTCTGATTTTCTGAATGTATAGCATGAAGTAGTCATCATTATGATTATTCAATGTAAACTTACGGCAATATATCTGTACACGTGACCATTCACGTGCATGTATTTACTGGTAAATACATATAAAAATAAAATGTATAGATTTTCGTTTAGACAAGTAAATCATACATTTATCTGTTTGGTCCTACCTGTGAACAAGTAAAATTTTCTTCTTGAAATCAATAGTGGTATTTAACAAAGGTTCTCACTGACCTCGTTCATATGAATTTGGAATGTGAACATGTCTGTATCCTTGGTAAAAAAATGAGTCCGTTTGGTGGAGCCATAATGGAGATATTGTTACATCATCATCATAAATATATATCGTTGTTGTTTCAGAACCACCATCATATTCTCGAGCATCTTGGAATGTAACAAAATGGATTAATCCTATTGAACCTCAACATCGATATCACCGCAAACGATGAAAAACAAAAGGCCGTCATTATTATGAACATGAAAGTATTTTACACACTAAAATAAATCATTTTTTATGCGCCGAACAAGATTCTAGAACATTAATAAATAATTAAATCAAGATTCTTTTAAAAGCTCATTAGAAAGTTTTTCTTAAAAATAATCGAGAAAATATTCAATTTTATTTGATATGTCATATGGATAAGATGATGATTAAATTTTTTTTTTAAATCTTATTTATAGAAGACAGGTACAGTTGGTCAAGAAAGAAAACTTTTGCTTTTAATTCGAAAAAAATATTTTACGAAAAATAAATGTATATAACGAAAACGTCACTGTTAGATTACTCAGTATATAACATCAACTCAATATGACGTTCGATCGATCTATGAATCATAAGATGAATAAAATGAATCATCGACGATGATTACAACAAAATTATGGAACTGAATATAATTAAGAAATTTGAAGAATTAGAATTGTCGAACTAAAAAAATATTCCAAATCTCCATTTATTTAATCATGATGAATTATATTTAATCAGAAGGTATTTTTCCCTGTTTCATAATTTTTTTCCTTTGATTTCGCAATAACGACACATGATGAGAAAAGTTGTAAAATAACAAAAAAAAAAAGGAATTGAGCATCAGTTGAAGTTTAGATTCATCGTTGAGTTCTCATTTGACAAGTTAATTTTCAATGTCTATTAATACATTAGAAGAAATTACATTTCTATCAACACTTCAAAAATTTACAATACATTGTGTTTCTAATCAATCTTTATCGAAAATCAAATTATATTATGTAGATCTTTTGATTGCTGTTGAAAACCTTCCAAAAATCTATATTGGTCATAAAATTCAACTTGCTTTAGCACTTGAAAGTGCTTCTCTAAGAAATGAAACAAGACTTATATTAAATGATTATATGAATATTATTTCTCATTTAATTTATCTTTCTCGATCAAATTTAGATTTAGAAGAATAGAAAAAATGTGAAAAATGGACAGGAATTGATCTAATATCATTATTAAATCAATGTAAAAATCGTTTTAAAAACCAATCTTATTCATCCACTATTTGGATTAAAATTTTGAATAAAACAAGCATGGTGAGTTATAATATAAATTATTTTAAAAATATTTCATTTGATTTTGTTCAACATGATACAGATATTAAATAATTATTTCAATGGATTAATCAAAATAAAATTAAAATATCTGGTCGATTTAATCGAACATATGGAGGAATACCCTTATTTTGGTGTACAACATCTTCTTGAAAATTGCATTCAAAATATGGATCAATTCGATTAATATTTCTATTTTCTCTTGTTTATTCATCTACTCAACATCATCTCTTTAATTTGGGACAATGAAAAAATGGTTTCGATATCTGGCAGAATATTTTAATTACAACTACAAAACAAATTGCTGGATATGAAAATGATTTTTTTGAACTTTCATCAATACCTTTAGATATAGCTATTGATTTAACTGATGGACCATTGATACTTTCTGATGTTCGTATTACATTTGTTAATCATATTCATCGATGTATATCTATATTACCTGATAAATTAACACCACAACATTCTTGTTACAATACATCTCATTCTACTATGGGGAATTTTCTTCGTCATCTTCGTAAAAATGAACAATCTACACTGGATCAATTAAAAAATCTTTTTGATTTATAAATCTTCGAAAAATTAAAACAAATGAACAATATTTTATCTAAAGAAAAGATCGCTGCATGACAATATCAAAGACAATTTTAGGTGAGTTTATTATCTAATATTACTTCATTTTATATCTTCACAATCTTTAGAGTAATTATCATATTTGACTACTTTATTATCTCTAAAATTTATCGTCAAACTAATGGTTTTGTTATATATCGGTGTGGTCTAGTATTACGGAATTTCATTTTTTTTACATTGTAACGTCTATTTGTCGTTAATGGCAGAAGTAAATTCTTTAAAACTTTTATTATAGATAGAGACCATTTAGATCTCCTGTCGGCAAACATTTCTTAGAGTTTTCTTTATACAGACTCATAGTGCACCAATCTTAATCATCTGTATTTTACACTTTTAAAACTTGTATATCGTTGTCAATACTGGGAATATTTATTGTTTTCATCAATTTACAATGAAAAACATCTAGATGACTATTGCTATGCATACTGGGAAAAATATTTAAAAGCCCTGGAGAAGTCCATAGATAGATATCTATTATTGAAACAATCAGAACTGAATGAACATAGATCACAATGGCAAGAGGGCGAATGTGCAATTCGTTGTCTTCGAAGATCAAAAAGATTTGTACCACACATCGATGTTCTAGAACAAGCAATGGCATGAATGGCAACTCATGGGACATCAGATTCAGTGATTCACTGTAGTGATGAAGAGCTTCTTTGTTTTTCACGATATCGTGAAAGTTTCAAGTAACTATCTCTATTAAAGGTCATCCAGCGAGAGAGAGAAAGAGAGGAGAACCATGAAGAGAATAGAACAAAAGGAAACTTTTAATATATGTATACTTATTCTCCTACATTAATGGTATCTCCTTAAACATTTTATCATCAAGCGAAATATACAAACATACTCTCTCTATCTCTCTTAAACAATTATCCCTACTCACAAATCTAATACCATCATCATCGATAAACACGTACTGTATCTACTCGCTATATTCGTCACAATGACACTGCTCTATCATATACCCCTCGTTAATATGGCTTCGTTCGTCGTTCCAAGTACGGCAGACGATATTTCGGACACACTACTCAATCGTACGAGACTGGACAAGATTTTAATATCAGCGCTGGAAGCACAAGAAAAAGAAAATGATGGTCGACAACGAAATCAAAATAAAAATCAGGGCTTAATCAATACGTTGGTAAATCAAAATAATCAGTTAAAGAGCATCGAAAATAAATTCGAATTTATTATTAACAATTTTGCTAACTCCAGCCACATTAAGGAAGTTGTCGAAAAAACAAAGGAAATCGAAAATCATGTCTATCGTGCTCATCGTTCGCATAAATCGTAGCGTGAATTGCTGCTGCAACTAATTACTGGTGGTGCTCTCATGATTATTATAATGAAACTGTATAAAAAGTATTTCCTACCTCGATTTAAACAATTCATTCGCAAATTTGATGGTAATAATACAACACGAACAAGGTCCATTAGGGAATGGGTGGAAAAGTGTAACTATAATAATAGAACTACGATTGACGATGAAACAATGCGTGCTGAGCAGCAGTTGAAAGATCAAATCGACAGATTTAATTCAACGATACGTACATTAAATGATCCGATTCGCGTCGAACAACGGTAGTAGTCCAAGTGAATGTACTTTAATAACTGGTGATGGAACAGTCTCGTTGATTAGGCGCTTCAATTTTTTGGCTGGATTGCTTATCTCCTAATACTCAAATATCATGGCTTAATAGTGCGCACTACCTCTCGCTTCCTTTGTTCTTTTACTTTTTCCTTCTTTTTCTTTGTTTCTTTTTTTTCTTTTTTTTTCTCTTTCCCTCTGGTCTTCATTTTGTTCTTTTTCCTTTCGTTTACACCTCTTCTGCTTATAGCTACTTGTGTCTTCCTAGCATTTCTTTTTGTGTTTCGTTTCTTGCTCTCGCTTCTTTTTCTCTCTCTTCTTATCTCATTTTATTTTTCTTCGTATATGACATTTCCAATTTTAAGTCGATTATATGAGCATTCATCACAGTTCATATCATTTCAAGGCTTAGCTTCACTTGTGTATTTGTTTTCTAGCTCATCTGTCCATTTAGAACCATCAGGGCCATAGGACAATTAATGGCACAAATAAAAAAAAAATCAATCACAGGCACAGCTCTGCAATGTATTTTGAAATTATCGAACATCATAAAGTCAAGTAATATACTTGAAAAAAACATTTAAAATAGTATCTTTACAACTATGTATTTACTATTGATAACTTCGTCAAAAGAGAATTGTCCTATGCAAATATATGGGTAGAATAGGAGCTTTAATAAACGTAGGACGAAATTTTATACGAGTTTCATGTGTTCTATGATAATTCATATAGTGAACTCAGCTCCAAGTCTACACTAATAATAATATCATAGTTTCTTAAGATATATTATAAATACAAAAAATATAGATTATTAATGCAAACATATGTCCATTAAACAATTGATCCCTATTTGCTGATAAATTCTTTGATTAAAAAATGATTATTTCATGATTATTATAACATATGTTTCATATAACAAAAAATTAATCACAATCAACTTCAATATCGAATAATACATGAAACATTCATCTATGAGGTTTTACGAATGTTAAAACACGTGTGGGAAAGAGTGGTCGTGTAAACACGGAAGATCTGGGTTTTTATGGGTGTGACTATGGTTAAAATTTTCTTAAACAGTACTACTGAGCGCGTAAATGTTTGGAATATTGATTTTTTTTTCAACGTTTTAACCTTCACTTCTTATCACGCGAGTGCAAGTTCTTGAAACGTCTAAATGTCATGGGTTTTTCTTTGATATTTTTATCAACGAGAGTAGTGTATTAAATACTCAACGTGTTAATGCCCATAAATCGGATTTTTCCATTGTCAATTTTTTTTGTCAAATTTGATGTGCTGACACTAAAATAAGAAGGATTATAAGTGTTTAACAGATTAAACTATTCACTTTCTATTATAAAAATTTTTTTCCGTTTTCGCTTTCGAAATAAGGAGTAATATATAAAAACGCATATATTTATATATACATCTAATCATTATTTTTTGGCTTGCATGTAATTACTCATTATTTCATCACGAATGCTCTGCATGTTTTTTATTACATGCTCAATAATTTTTATTCAGTAGAAAAATTAGTTTTAGCATAGTAAATAATTTGAAAAATTCGGTAATTAGTTAAAAGAAACCCAGTATTTAATTTATTTTTGTTCAGTTTTTTATTAATTTATATGAATAAAAATATTATAATTACGATTAACAGAAGTTTATTGCATCAGTAATGCTTTTTATTACTGTCTCTTTAGCCCCTTTAGCATTGTTAAGCATCATTTCTTTTATCCGATTCCGTTTTCTTTTTTCTTTTTTTTACTTGTTTCTTGTTTCCATTATTTACAGTTTCATTTGTATTTATCTCCTCGTCAGAAACATAAGCTGGTACCTCAACAACTTTCAATGCCGTGACTATTTTTAAATCAAATTACATATAATATTGTTAAGGGGTGATTGATCTAGCAGATCAATAGTGAATCATGTCTTTTTGTTTTACAAACGACAGCTATATATATCTGAAAGAACTAAAAAAAAGCTAAAGTTCTGTTTGACACATTTTGCTGAACGTTCGGAATCAGAAAATTTTGGAAACAAAATGAGAAAGAACAAACATGATTCGAGACTCGAAAAGAGTTTATCTTGCAAAGCTCTAAAAAAAACCAATGACACTTGGAAGAAAACATAATGAGAGAAAAACATACTTAAACTAAATCAAGAGAAGAGAACATTTGAAAAACAACATCTTAAAGAGAAGGAAAGGAAATGACAACCATTCTTCTAATTGTATCAAAATGTTCTCATTGAAAAAAATAGAAATGGTTACTGATACAGGTACGATTCATTTAATGTGTAAATCAATTTTTACATGAGCAAACTAAAGTATTTAGTTACTGATGCTTCAATTTCAACGTAAAATAAATTTTTAATTTACTAAGCAAAAATAATAGTTGCTCAACACAAAATTTTTTATTGATAATTTCTATATAACACTGAGTATCTAGTGTATTCTCTTGTTTTTTTTTGCGTTTTAATGCATGAGTACCCAGTCAGACAAAAATTTCGAAAAACGCGTTTAAACGCACAATCGGGAACCGCGACTGTGATCTATTCACGCTCATTAAAAAAACGCACGAAAACGTGTTTATTGGCGTTTTTTGTAACTTTCTGGGCGTCAAAACGGCGGAAATTCCAGTTTTTGAGCGTTAAAACGCACTATTATTCTAGAACTTAAAAACAATACGTTTTAACACTCAAAAACTAGAATTTTCGTCGTTTTGATGCCCAAAAAATTACAAAAAACGCCAATAAACGCGTTTTCGTGCGTTTTTTTAATGAGCGTGAATGGATCACAGTCGCGGTTCCCGATTGTGCGTTTAAACGCGTTTTTCGAAATTTTTGTCTGACTGGGTATAGAACAATACTTTGTTAACAATGTGAAATCATTGGTTAGCCGGTTTCAACGCATGCGCTTTTCTATGATCTTTTTTTTGTAATAATACAAATGCGTGAACTACTGACGTTCTTGACAGTTCCACGCTGTGTTTTTCAATATGTATTCAAAGTCAATACTTTGTGCGTGTTTTAATAACATTTCTCCTACTGTGATAACAATACACATTCATGTTTCATATAAACTGCAAAGAGACTGACTTTATTAAGGATACGAATAGAAAATTTATTTAATAGAAAGAGAGTTATTTATAAAAGAAAGAATGATAAAAAGAGTATGTTTATTAATCCAACGATTGATAAAGGATTTAGTTGAAGTGAAGAACTACCTCGTTCCATGTTTCATCTTCATCAATTTAGTTTCTAATAATAATGACAATATGCATGATATATGCTATCGTATCATATCAATCTTTTTACAATTTATTTCTCTATTCAGAGCTACACTCAT